ATTGTTCATTTACATTCAAATGAAAGTAAATCTAAACAGGGGTGTTACCTTTCTCAACTAATCTGTTCATACATTGGGTTACTGCTGGACATGTTTAGTCTGTTTTTTTTTCCTTGACAAAATAATGACAGCAATCAGAACAAAGTGTTTTCATTCCTGTCTGCTTTAAGCATGTACAGTAAAATGTAGGGACCATGTGATCCATGCCAGACTGCACTTTGCCGTTCATTGATGCATCAAACAAACACTTTTTTTTTTCAGTTGCTTCTTTCTTTGTCTCTGGTAATCACCTGCATAGTTATACTAAAACATTTATTAATGCCCCGAGCTCAGCAAATATTGGTGAATTGTTGTTGTTGATTCCTTTTTCTGATAGTAATCATTGGTCTGAGTTGCTGAGAATTTCACCACTAATATGAATCTTTCCTGAATGTCTCAATACTTAGCCAGACAGTGGACAAGCCTGAATAGGCAGTGAGCAAGACTGAACAGACAGTGAACAAGTTCTTGACAGATGGTGTGTAAATGAGGATAAACAGAGGAAAAGCCAAAACATTCAGACTGTGACCAACCAGGTAAATACACTTACTGGGTACCCTGTCTGCAGGACAATTCCTGATCAAATTTTGGTTGAAGCATTCTGAGTCTGGGAGAATCTCCTCATGGCTCACATTGTTTTGGAGCACCTCAACACTGACCTTGTAAATATAATATTATGTCAAAGTTATACTATGCACAGTGCCAATGGTCAATTCCCTCTATAAGATATGCCTGCAGAGAATCATGGTAGTTGTATTCATCATCTTGGACTGGATATTTGCTTTGATGGCTGCAACTACCATGACGTCCTTAAGGCACATCTCACAGAGGCCTGGAATTAGTCATAAGTATAAATGCCGTTCACTCATTTCAGGGCATCTGACAGGATGCTGTGGTGCAGATCCACATAATTCACAAACATCCTCATTCCCCACATAATCAGAGTTTTTTCCGCATAAAACAGAAAAAATGTTTCATGTTAGCGATAAAGCAGCTGCTTACCATCCCCAGAAGTAAAAATTCCTAAGACATTGATTATTTTGAAGTAGTTTTTCTCCTGAAATGGGGAAATAAAAAAAACCCATTGCATTTGTGGTGAATTTTTAACCTCCAGGCTTTCCAACCTACTTTAGGTGAAGAGCCTGGAAACTAGTTTTTCATCTTCCGATATAATGCCTGGTTACTAAGTTACAGATGTTCCAAGAAACCAACAATGAATTCTTCATGTAAAATGTTATGGAAAACCTGTGTTAAATGAAGAAGTACCTGTCAACAAATACTAGAGACAGATCAAGCATATGTCAAAGTTGGCGGGCACGATGTTTAATAAGTAAGTTCACTTACTTACTTACTTAGTTTATGGCCATGCACACGGTGTTGGTGTACAGTCGCTAATCATTGACAAATGTCCGACTTTTACTCAAATATTTTTTTGTTATGGACTGAATGTGAACGAAAACAATCATAGTCATAGATTCTCGGTTATATCAGCTTGTGGTGTTGCTGTTTGAATCTCCTCTCTTTTGCTGGGTTAGCGAGTAACAA